ACACACACACACACGGGGAAGTTCATTTCAATGACAGGTACGAGAATCCACTCTTTTTCATGCTAAACTGACAGCCAAGTACAAAGCTACAGGAGAAAGGAAGAGAGAGGAACTACTTACCTGTGTCATGAGGGATCTTGCCAGGACCTTGTTTCCTCCTTTCATCATCATGTTGATGAATTTGCTTCAAGGAGAAAAGCAACAGGTTTAGCTTCCAAGGCTGTGTCCCGGAATCCTTGCGGTAGATCCTCCCTGGGCCTGACCCGGGGGGAACGAAAGTGCCCCGTCTCACCTGATCACCGGGTCTTCAAACACGGAGCTGGTGTTCGCCGACGGGGCGGCTTTGATGGGCTGGGTCTTCCTGAGCTCCCGCTCAAACTTCTCCTCCTCCGTCAGCTCTGCCCAGGGCTTGCGGTGATACTCCTTGTCGATCTGCGGATCCCTGAATTCCGCGCTGTAGCGGCTCCACCTCACCTGGGTGAACCTGGGAGACCGGGAAGAGAGGGCGGCGGGCAAGGCTGACTCCACAAGTGCGAAGGCTTGACTTAATAATAGGCAGGCTGGCCAGGCCACTGACTAGTGAGCGGCGCGGCCACCGCTAGCCCAGTCCGAGCAGCAGTAAGCCTGGCTCTTGTCTCAAGAGGTAGGAGGGCCGCCCCCAAATAGGCCAGGAAGGCCGCCTCCTGAACCTCAGGGCGGACGCCCGCCTATGCAGCTCTCCCCCCAACTCCCAACACAGAAAACCCCAACTCTGAGCTCCTCGGCAAGACCGCGCTTTCAACTCCGAGTCAGAGCCCCCGCGGGCAGGGGGCAGCTACCCAGCCTTCAGATTGGCCCCAAGTCACGCTGCTGGTTCAGAGCTTCGGACCCCAACACCCCGGCCTCCAGGCAGCCTGCAGGTCCCGCGCGTCTTGCCTGGGGCCCTGTCCTTCCTCGCAGGCCTCTCGGTGCGGACCGAGCGGCCTCCCAGCTGCCCGCCGCCCTCTCACCCTGGGAACCGCAGGACAGCACTCCGCACGCTCAGTGTCAGGTCCGAGCACCCGAGCACGGCCTTCACCAAGGGGGCAGCCATCTTGGTTTGCCTCGAGGACCCCACAAGGACTGCCCTCGGCGTGCCTGAGCGAGTGGCGGAAGACGGGGAAAAGGCTCCGCGGGGTCCTCAAGCTGCGCGTCGCCCCATCCATCTGGGCGTTAAGAGTCTCTAATCCCGAGGCCCAAAGGCAAGAATCAAAAGGAAACACTCGCTCTCCCGTTATCCGTCGCAGGCAGGCACTCGCTCCCCTCAGGCCCCCATGCAGGCCCCGCCCAGGCTCAGCTCTCGCAGGTTGTCGCGAGGTTTGAGGCCGCGGGCCCGGCCCGGGCGGCTGCAATATGGCGGAGGCGGAAGGAGAGAGCCTGGAGTCCTGGCTGAGTGAGTATCCACGGCCACTTTTGCATGTCCTCGAGCACCACCGAGCCCCCCCTCCCTGCA